ATCATATTTTGCCTCCTCTGCTCAATCCCCCCTAAACTGGGGGTGGGGAATGAGTAAAATAATAGGAAAGGAAATGTGTAGCTAGGGAAAGGTTAAGCAGCTGCTCCTGTTTTCTGGTCCTCCCTCACAGATGACCCCTTCCTGCCATCTATTAGAGTTACAAGGTAGCCACAAAAGATTTTCCACTGCTGTGATTGTTTCATGACTTAGCTACCACTATCTAGGGCTTTTCCCTATTTGCACATGTCATGAACATGCCTTCTGATAACTCCTTTTTTCTGACATATTGGGATGTTGTCTTTGTTTTTTCCCTGACCCATAACACTGGAACAGCTAAGTCGTCCTTAGCTGTTCCAGTGTTAAAATAGTGTGCTTTCCTTTTAAGCAGACAACAAACAATGGCTAGTTAGTGTAACTGCAATTTGTCCAGCTTCACCAACCAATCAGTATCACAGTCAGATGATGCGTGGGGGCTGGATAAGCTCAGCACTACTGACCATTTAGGTTGGTGTGTGGGAATGCCCACTTCAGTCTTTCAGGGTCACACCGTAGTAGTAGAATCCAGTTCTTTCAAACCAGACTCTGCCCATGTAATGGCCCAGATAAGGAGCCCATCGCCAGCTTGGAGGCCTGGAGAGCAGCTCACTAGCAGTGGGGATGGTGGGGATGGCTGCATTGTGAAGCAGGAGAGTTCTCTTTTGGTTGCTTCATGGTGCAGCTCTTCCCAGACCTGGCTGCTGCTGTTTAGGCTCCTTTTGAGCATGGCTTTAATGTTCTTTTGTAATAAACCTGTGTCCAAAAAATCCCAACAATCAATCTGGTGGACCAAATATTTTGGGTGGGGCCCTTCAAAGGTAGCCTGTCAACTATTGTGGAATAAGTACTTTTTAACCAAATTTGATCAAAACACTGTCCAAAAAGAGTCCCACTAGTATCTGATAACTGTTCTGCTCCTTTTGAATGCACCCATGCAAAATTCTTGCACCAAAACAGTGCAAGTTTTGACAGAGGCCAAACCTCTGGTCTAGCCAATCTATCAAAATGTGACTCCTTCCCCAGCCCCAGCCTATGTTAGTCATTGGTGGATGCTTCCCATTAGCTGATGATTTCTGGGGGGAGGGGAGAGAAAAACAAAACCTGAGGAATCCTTTGTAAATTAGGACAGCTGTTTGATGGGCATCTTGCCTTTGGTAGAATAGCAATTGTGAGTGTGGGCAGCAAATTGCATCAAACGTTTTCTGCCAGTTCAAAAAACAGTTGATAGTATTTTAATTTAGCCAAGAGGAAGACCCCCTAATAACATATTTTAGCATTACCCAGCCATTGCCGAAGCTATATACAGCCTGTCCTTGTTAGTGTTATATCTGCTCAACATTTGAGTGACTCTCACTAATGGGGATATTGCAAAATTGAATCCTTAAATGACAAGATGCCCTTTTTAGCAACAGGATCAGAAAGTACTCAGTGCCACTGGAGCTTAGCAACCAATATCAGGCTTTTGCTGTAGCAAATAGTCCACAGGAACCAAAGCTGCAGTGTGCAGAATTGATAATGACATTGTGGGAGATATGTTGTTCTCCAGGTGCCCATATTTGGGATGTAATGAACAGCCTGCCAAGATTCTTCAGATCTTTCAGAAACTATCCCTTTCTCCTGATTCATGTGGGGACAAATTACGCTGCCAGAAAAAACCTTGAATGGATCTCTGGAGACCTGAGCAGGAATGTTAATAAGATGGGAGGGGAAAGGTACTTTCAGACTTGCAAGATTGATGTCAGACCTTCGAGGTAGTCCTGACAAGGTGCACCCACCATGAGCACTAACACTACCTTTATTGTAAGGTTACAGTAAGAGAATCTTGCAAGTGTTGAAAGTACCTCTCCTCTCCCTTACTTTTACTCTGCCAACAACTAGGGAGGGTCCCTTCTGAGATGCTTTCTCTACCCCCACCCCTCTTTCAGACTTGGATTTCATTTATCAGACCATTGTCTGGGCTGCGGCTCTTCCTCCTGTCTCCCAAGGTCATTCCCATATACCATTACAGCTATATCAGAAACAAAAGGAAAAGTAAAGAGGCTGTACATCTGTTGTAAGGAAAAGGGGTAAATTCGTAACAGGTGTTGGACAGAAGGCAGAATGTCTTAACTTATTGTACGTCTGTCTTCCATCAGAAAGGAAATGAAGCCCTGGCCGGTCATTGTTTTATCCCTAGTGGAGCAGAAGGAGAAAGAAAAAGAGAGGAGAAAAGAACACTTGGTTAATTTAAATGCATTCAAGTCTCCAGGGCCAGATGAATTACATTGTAAGGTACTGACTGAATCACTAACAGCAATCTTTTGAGAATTCGTGGAGGCCTAGAGAGGTCCCAGAAGACTGGAAGAAAGCAAATGTTGTTTCTATCTTCAAAAAAAGGAAGAAGATGAACTCAGGAAATTACAGACCTATTGGTTTGATATTTCTATTGGGAAAGATCTCCAAGCAGATTGCTACATTGCATATTCATAAATATAGTATGTTCATACTTGGGTAGGAATGCAGCAACTAACAAGAGCCAGCATGGCTGTATCACAAAGAAGTCATGGCAGACTTATTTTAGCTCCTTTTTTTTAGCACAGTTACTAACTTAATAGATTGGTGGAATGAGGTGAACATAGTGTACCTTGATGTTACAAAACATTCAGCAATATAGCTCATTATATTCTCATTAATAATATGGTAAAGGATGGGCTAGATGATACAACGGTTAGATGGATTTATTACTGGCTGAAGTTGTACCCAGACAGTACCTGTATGTGGCTCCACATCAGTGGGTTGTTGTTCAACTTTTTAATGAATGACTTGGATGAAGAGGTTGAGGGGACAATGATCAAATCTGCAAAATTAGGAGGAGCGGCTAATACTTTAAAAGAGAAATAGAAGATTAAAAAAAACTCTAAACAGGTTTGAACAGTGGGCCAAAACAAACAGGATGGAAATTAACAGGGAGAATGTGAAGTCTATCATCTGGGGAGAAAAAAAGAAGAGAGAAAATTACAAGACAGGTAGGGGATAGGAGACAGGGGAGACATGGCTTGGCAGTAATACATGTGAAAAAGATGTGAGTGTCCTAATAGTTCACCAGCTGAACAAGAGCCAACTCTGTGTGCAGCTGCTAAAAAGGGAAATGCTATTTTGAGGAGAAATAACAGAAACATTGAATCCAGATCATGGGTTGAAATGACATAGATTCAAGTTAGATACTATGAGGAATTTCCTGACAGTAATTGCTGTCAAGCAATTGCCTTATGAAATGGCATGTTCTCCTTCCCTGGAGATCTTCAATCAGAGGCTGGCTAGCCATTTGTCCAAAAGGCTTTAGCAGTTCCTTCATGAGCAGTGGTCTGGATTCAATGATCTCCTAAGAATGCTTTTGACACTATGATTCTATGACTCTTGTACCTAACAAGATACAAGAACCTTGCTCAGTTGTTTGCCTTTTACTTTAAAAGTACAGAGATGTTAAGAAGTATGATCATAGGGCTATATTCAACATTATGTGAGCGCAGTGCTACTTTTCTGGATCAGTTGCAAAGCTGCTGTGAGACCAATGTGTGCATAAGGAAAATGAAATATATCAATACTAATTTTGTCACAAAAGACAGTTTAGTTGGTGCTCACGTTGTCTAATTATGCACACTTTCCAAATTGTTTGAGGCCTAATTGTCAATGGGAAACCTTTATCTGGACCTGAAGGTGGAGCTCACATTATTTTACTTATTAATTTTATTTTATTTGTTCAATTTATATGGCTACCCATCTCACAAACATAACTCTGGGCTAACAATAAATAAAAACAAGATAAAAACATTATAATAAATAACATATACAGCAACTAAGATAAGAAGCCAGTCAACAACAATTAATACAGCCATGATACAAGCTCTATCATGTGGCCAGGGCCCCAGGCTCAGTAACAAAAGCAGGTCTTCAAGGCTTTGCAAAAAGCCAGCAGGGTTGGGGCAAGTCTAATCTCGAGGGAATGATGTTCCAGAGGGTGGATGCCCCAACAGAAAAGGCTCTCTTCTGGGTCCCACCAGGTGACACTCCCTAATGGACAGGACCCAGAGCATGCCTCTCCTCTTGGATCTGACAGGACAGGTAGATACAACCAGGGAGAGACAGTCTTGCAAGTAACGGAGCTCCAAACCATGAAGGGCTTTAAAGGTGACAACCAGCACCTTGAATTGAACTCAGAAGCATACTGGCAACCAATGCAACTTGTGGAGCAGTGCTGCCTTTGGGAATATAGTGGAATATTCCTCTACATAAAACTAATATAAACTCCCTGGCCTCAAACCCTAGATTACCCTTGTTTTCTGATCTGATGTTGCATTTTGCATGTTGTTTAGTGGGAGGATTTGTTTGTATGTAGGAGATCACTGAGGAGTCTAGGGTTCTCCACAATCTGAAGTGCTGCAGACCCAGGTCAGCCATTCCAGTAACCGAGATGGGGCTTTACCAGTCTTCCGTTTGGTGAATCAGAACTTTCTGTGTTTAATTCAGTGGGAATTATGCCCAAATCCTGCAAAAGCAGTTAACAAGAGCCATGGAATAATTCTCCTACAATGTTCAGAGACTGCAGTGAATCTTTAAAATAGAAATTTGGAGTTGAAGTCAGAAGTGGCATTTCTGGTCAAGAGCCACAAAATCAGCTTCTGTGCATGTTTCTCAAACCCGGTACAATCTGGGCCAGGCATTCAAACCCTGTCTGAAGCTACCAGCAGTGCTGTGACATGCAATTGTGGCTTTTCAGATGCCTTAAGATAGCCGCCCTCAACTGGTGGCATGTGGACCATGGATGGGGCTCATAAATCGCGCCCATGGGACACTAGGTAAGTCACTAAAACTTTAAATCTCTACCATACATTTGTATCTGAGCATTTAAACTGATCATAAATGCATAACTCTCTATCCAAAAAAGTGGTTTTTTTTTTATCTCCACTGGATCCTTTGATAGGCCGATGGACGTAAGATACAAAGGTGAAGACTCGCTGCCATTAAGAGCCGTAATCTGGAAGGGAGTGAGTGTGTGGCTGTAGCAGAACCTTTCCCTCCATGGTTTGTATCGTAAGCCAGCGTCTCCTAGCAACCAATCCCGAGAAGGATGGCCAATTTATCTGCAGAGGGTGTTAAGGCTGTCCTTGAGCTACAGGTAAATAAAAGACAGGAAAAAGTTGAAGGTGATCATGGCCGAGGGGAAGGGATAGCCCCAGAAAATCTTGGCGAAATATAATATCTGAAGCTGTTTGCCGATTCCATTCCCATGGAAACCAGGAGGAGTTCTAAAGAAAGCTTCAGAAACCTTCCTGCCTTCTCCTGGAGAAATCTTGGAGGCTTGTGTTCGTAAACTTTCTGTTTTTCCTCACTGCTTTTTCGACTTTTTTTCTAGCCTAGAAAATGTGGTCAGGAAAATGCTGCTGCACAGTGTCTGTTGATTTTAAAAGTACCAGGAGATGCACTGGTTACAGCAGCCTCAGATGCCTCAACCAAATTCTGACTGTGCAGTTGAATGGTTAGGGTTCGCTCTGATATGACATTTTAAATCCAGGGAGGGGTTTTTCACAGTGGATTTCGGGTGTTTGCGTGTGAGAAAGAGAGAGGTTGAACCTGATGGCAGAGGTTTCTCTTTTTTCAGAACAATGAAATTAACTACTGGATTCTTGGATTGTTTGGATATTTGACTTCCTAACCTTTATCCACTTATATATTACATGTTCATCATTCATCAGCTCGGGCTGGTGTAAGGGATTGTCCAGAGAGACGAAGAATGTGAGTGGCTCCACTTACTCGGCGGCAAAGTGGAGATTTAAACCTGTGTTTGTCTACTAAAGTTTCCCATTTATATTTTGCTCTGTGTTTTTTTTCAAAAATCACAATGGTAAAAATATAATTATACTGCGGTGACACATCACTAGAAAAAAAAGTACAATTGCTTTTGAACAGTCCCAGTTTGATTATGATTTTGATGGTGTATATTCTATATAATTTTTAAAAAATGATTATTATTGTCCATGGTCTGGAGCGGTTCAACTCAAGCAGAATAAAACAAATGAATTAGCATTATAGGCAAGATTTTCAAATTTGGTTATTTATTTATAAATTGCCCTAATCCATAATATGTTTTTTGTTAAATACTGTGTTGTGTGATCCCAGGTATTGTGTTTTGCAAACCATGGTTTGTGGCTGATTATAAGGTATGAGCCAGGCCACTATGGCTGGTTCAGAAAACTCAGGTTAAAACAATGTTTTAATGTGAAGTGTGAAGCCAGCCACAGAATTAGAACTTTATAACTGGCAGAGATTTTAAAAGTTAATCTAGTTCATCCCTCTGATTAAAGCAGAATCTACAATTCAGAATGCAACTTCAGCATCGCTAAAACCCTTTGCAGGCTGAACTCTTCTACAAACTATGTAGCCAGATGAAACATCCCGGTGTCATCTGCATTTTTAGAACTGTATAAAAGGAAATACTCTCAGGCAGATTCTTTTCCCACTAGACTGTTTCAGAATTGAGAGCAAAACTCAGTCGGATGACAGAGTTCTTTTTTATGTAGCTCCTTTAGTGTCCTTTAGTGCACTCTTTTTCAGTGTCTTTTGAAGGAACATATTTGACCACATTCACAGAAAATTTTATCTTGGCTTAACAAAACCTAGTTATGATGTTCATATAACATATTCTGTCCAAACAGATAAAACATTGTGGTTTAATGTGATGATCTGTTAAAGCTAACAGATTACCACATTCACAGAAAATTTTATCTTGGCTTAACAAAACCTAGTTATGATGTTCATATAACATATTCTGTCCAAACAGATAAAGCATTGTGGTTTAATGTGATGATCTGTTAAAGCTAACAGATTCGTCCTACAAAAATCTGGGTGACTGCCAGATTGCAAGAAAGAGTTTTCTGTGTTTCTTTGATAAGCTAATGGTTGAGTTCTGCAACATGTTGAAAAGCAAATGTCCCACCCTCATTTTAGCTTAGTTAAGCCTGTTTGTTGAACATAGTCCCATAGTCAAAACCTTTGCCCCTTAAGTCTGAATTTACTTGTAGAAAGTCCACATTTAAAATAAATAAAAGCCTACATGTTTGACTATGAAAAGAAAACAAATGCTCAGCTGGAAGGAACCCTGGAGACCATTTAGTTCAACCCCCTGCCCAGTGCAGCGGTTGACTAGTATAGCATCCTGACTGATTACTATCCAGCCTCCATTTAAACCCTTCCAGTGAAGGAGAGGTTTTTGAACAGCTTTTACCATTACATTTTTTTTCTTGACATCCAACTGAAATCCACTTCTTTATAATTTAAACTCATGGTTTCCTGCCCTGTTTTCTGGATCAACGCTGAACAATTCTGCCCCGTCTCCTTCATGACCAATTATACAGATTCTTGAAGGCATCTATCATCTCTTTGCAGCCTTCTAACTTCCATACTAAACATATCTGGTACCTCCAACCATTCCTCTTCGTTTTTCCGTCCATGCTCTATTGTCTTAGTTGATTCCCTCTGAACTGAATCTAGTTTGTCTATGTTCTTCCAATGTTGTGATGCTTAGAACTGGGTGCAATATTCTAAGTGTGGTCTAACATTAGACTATAACCAACCCAGAATTGAGAGAAATAGTGACTTTTCTTGATTTTGGCATTGTACTTCCATTGATGCAGCCTAGCATTTGCTTTTTTTACAGCTGCATCGCCTTGCTGGTACATGTTCTGCTTGTGATCCACCAAGACATCCACATCCTTTTTTGTACTTACTGCTGCCTAGTATGGTCCTCACTATCCTGTATTCCTGCCTTTAATTTTTCCTACACAAATGTAAAACTTTGCATTTCTTCTTTGTCAAGGTCCTCCTGAATGTCCTCCAAGGTGTTTGATATCCCATATATGTTTGTGTTGTCTGTATAACTGATAATCATAGTTTCTCACCACTCATCCAAGTCATTGATCTATATGTTAAGCAGTACAGGGCCTATAAGGAAGCACTGCAGTGAGCCAGCTTGATACAGAACCATTGGCCTCACTTGCTGGGGATGATTGTTCAACCAGCTCTGCATCTATCTAATGGTAGCATAGTCCAGCCCACATTTTGCCATCTCCTCTGCTAGAATCTCATGGGAGACTTTGCTGAATAATTAACTGAAGTCAAAGTACACTGTGTCCACCCCATTCCCAGGGTCACTATCAAAACTAGTGAACAGTTTAGTTTAGCATGTCTTGTTCTCAATAGTTCATGCTGGCTCTTACTAAGCAATGCATTATTTTCTAAATGCTCACAACCCAACAAATGCTCACAAACCAACCATTTAATAATCTGTTACAGGGTTTTGCTTAGTATTGTTATTAAGTTGACCAAACTTTAGTTACACCAGTGCTCTTTTTCCCCTTTTGGAAAATTGGAGTAACATTTGCTCTACTCCAATCCTTTAGGCCATCCACCATGATTTCTGAAAGCTCAAAGAAGGAGGCTCCGAGATAACATCAGAAAACTTCTAGACTCTTGGATGTAATTGGTTTGTTCCTAGAGACTAAAACTCATGCATGGTAGCCAGATGCTCCCTAATTATCTTTACTTACTTTAAATACATATTTTTTTATTTCTGCGCTTCTTCATTGATGCGTGTGTGTGTGTAGATGTATGATTAATTGTATAGCAATTTGATGGGGGAACCAGTGATCTAGAGAGGAGTAGTAAGCTGTCCTTGACTGAATGCCATCAGATGGTATTGCTTTAGTGATGGGACCCAGAGCACGTCAACTCTGTTGAATCTTACAAGATAGGCTGAAGCAATGGGAGACAGGTGGTCCCTCAGATAACCAGGCCCCATACCATGAAGGGCTGAATAAGTAATAGCCAGCATCCTGAATTGCACTTGGAAGCTTACTGGTAACCAATGCAGCTCATGTGTTACAGTTATGTCTGGACAAGTACAACCCATTCAGAACTAAAGGGGGAAAATCCACAACACCAGAAGAACTATGAGCAACCACTCTTGTCAGGTTGAGTCTAAGCCTGTTCCTCTCCACTGAGACCCCAATAGCCTCCAGGCCCTGAGACAGGCCCTTGGCAGCATCAGTTGGTTGTCATAGAAGTGAAATATACAACTGATGATACCTGACCCTGTGTGGATGGGTGACCTCACCTAGTAGCTTTATATAGATGTTAAATAGGAGGGGTGAGAGTGTTGACCCTTTGGCACCTCACAAATCATGGGCTTAGGCTTGACCTCTTCCCCCTGTCAACACCAACAGTCCAGCAGGCAGACAAGCAGACAAGCAGAAAGTCCAGCAAGCAGTCCAGTAGAGAGTCCCACAGGCAAACCTGGTAGCTGGCCAATAGATGATCCTCCAAAATAAACTGGCCAGGTGGGAATTGGCTGTAAATGCAGAAGTCCAGTGCCCAAGCAACTGTGGGGCTCAAGCACTTGCACTTCCACCAAACCCCATCTAGCTCCTCTAGCTCCTCATCGCAATGCCACCATAAGGAAGGCCTCTCTTGCTGAAGGACTGGTGCTTAGCAGTCACCAATTGTCCTGTTGCAATAACTCCACCCATCCCACTGCAATCTTCAAAATGATGGACTTTCAACTGGACCTTTGCTGCTGCTGTGCCAGAATGAGTGTGTCCATTGTGGGACAACTTTCAACTCTTTACTAGGAGCAGGCCACAGTCTTCTATTCTATGTCTTGCCACAGTACATAATCTTACCTTGCCTTGCATCGAACATCAGCTCCTGACCAGAGCACATTCAAAGCCTCCTTCAACATTCCGTACAGCTGGTTTGACAAACCTCATCACCCATTGACTAAAGGAACACAAGCACACATCACCACCTTCTGTGCTACTAACAACAAGCACTTCTCCATGCACCATTTAAAAAAAAAAAAAGCTGTGCAGAATCACAGGAAAGTTGAGTTTCAAGAATGCTTCAGATGTAAGTTGCCTGCTGATAACATTTTGAAACTTGAAATTTATTTTCTTACATTTCCAAATACATTCCTTGTACCTAAAAAAAAATCCTTAATCTTGAGCTAGTGTTATATGTGAACCATGACCATATGGCTTAGTCAGGAAGCCATGACTGGTTTAATGCAATACCTGAACCCAACCAGATTTAAGCATGCTTAGTTTTGTGCTGGATTGGGAACTTATTTCCAGGACTGTCTCTTCACAAACAAGCCAGACCTGTAAAAAGAAAAGTTAGAATAATGCAGCATCACTGGCTATTACTCATTAGAGTTACAGGGCATTCCCATACTAGTGATTTAGCACATTTTGTAACATCATTGCTTTGATGATATAAAGGCTGTCTTCATTACTGATATATTGGTACAGCAATGGCTGGCTGAAATTGAAGATGCTGTAAATCATCAGTGTGGAAATAGCCATGCAGGAGCTGTTGAATTTGTAAACTTCCCAGAACAAACTAATTGACCACTGTGGGGGCAGAAGGCTGGGCAAATTTGATCCTGCATATTGGTTTGTGTTTTCTTAACTTCTTCCATGGTGCACATGGAACAGTGCCACATACTAACAACTTTTCTTGTTTGGTGCTTTCTTCAGCAGAAAAATGGTCGCCTGTCTCTAAGAGATTTGCTGGGGTGGAGGAAGTTTGATGAAATTCAGGAAGTGCGGCAGAGCATCCAACTCGATGCCCATTACCACAGCCTGGTGTTTGCTGCTGAGAAGGGCTTGTCCTGGCCAGCTGTAGCAGAAGTGGGAAAGTTGACAGGGGAGCTATTGGAGGAAACCCAAGGTGAGCCAAGATTGCATTTGTCACAAAAAGTGTACACTGCAAGAGTTTCAGCTGTGAAGGAAACATTTGGGCTGAGGTGAGTCAATTTTGTACCTCCTTTTATAGGTAACAAATGTGTGGTCTTCAGGGGCTCAGGGCTGTTTGTGGAATATGTCAGTGCCTGATGTGGAAGAAACGAGGGGGGAGTGGGAGTAGTAAAATCAATGGAGAAAATGAGGCCAGTCCAGGTGAAACTCCTTAAATACCAAAAACATTTTTAGTGAGTTAATTTCCTTCCTTCCTTCCTTCCTTCCTTCCTTCCTTCCTTCCTTCCTTCCTTCCTTCCTCCCTCCCT